CACGCAGCTCTTTAAAAAAACATGGTGCTGCAGATGTGTCGTCGTTTCTGCTGAATCCTTAACCTCATGTGACTTCAAAGACACACACACACACACACACACACACACACACACACACACAACACACACACACACACACACACACACGCACACACACACACACACAGTGGGGCTATGAGAGCTTGCAGCTGATTGCTGTAAGTGACATCATCAGTTGGGATGTGGAGTTTCTCTCTCCTCTTGATGCTGCAGCCTCCCACTCTTCTAACCACCTCCACACACACACACACACGCACACACACACACACACACACGCACACACACACACACACACACACACACACACACACACACACACACACACACACACACACACACACACACACACACACACACACACACACACACACAATCCATACACACTGCAGCTGCATTACATCATCTGGTTAGGTACGAGGAGTCGAAGAGAAACAGGGTGGGAGAACACTGTGTTCTGCTGTGGTGCATGATGGGAAATGTAGTCCTTTGACACTCGTATCTGTGGTTACATTTCTTTTTCATATTTTTTTAATAAATCTTAAACATGAATATTGATTTTATTGTTCCAGGAGCATCTGTGATCCTACCTGTTTTATTATAATGTGTTTTTCACCGAAAACGTTTGTTTATCTAGTAACAGAAAAACTGTTGCAGCCGAGGTCTGTAGGGGTAACATTTAAGAAGATTGCAAAAAACAAACACCTAATGAGAGACTGCAGATGTATGCATGATGTCAGAGGTCAAACCGGAAAGCTCAGCTGTTGATACTTGTTGATTTAATATTCTGCATTGTATTCAACACAGAAAAACTGCATGTGCATTTGAATATCCCTTTTCCTTTGCTCATCATTTTGTGATAATACAAAGAGAACGTCCAGGTGGACAGGTCACATAAAAGCTCTGCATTCTGGAGCTTATCTGAAACAAACAGACCGCTACTTAAACCTGAAATCCATTAAATGTGACTGAGTTAAATGAAGGAAGAACAGCAACATCCTGACTTTTAAATCCAGATTATTTGGAATCAAATGGACCCCTGGGTCGCTGGTGGGTCAGCCACACCTAGGCAGACCTGGCGAGTCTCCCAGGTGTAGACTATTTAAGTACGGGCAGTCACCCCTCCTTTCTTTCTGATCCACCCTCAGCGTCACACCATCACCACAGCTCCTCACTCACACCACACAACATGCTGCACACACTGATGAACACACCTCACAATCTTTGTAAATGGTTAATATTTTGGGTATTTTGTATTAAACTTTACATCGTTTAGTTAAAACAGTGCGTTTCCTTGAGCCGGGTCGTGACAAGTGACACGTCATTAAATAATCAAACGTTGCTTTTCCATTAAAATCACAATCTTTGTTCTCTTGCATTCACGCGATGAACGATCCAAAGTGCAGCCTCTTTGCGTGGTTTCTTTTCTTCGATGTGTTTGAATGAAAGCGAGGAGTGATAGACGGTCCTCTTGGCTGTCAACCAGAGCAACAGATGGAGGCGTGAGAACACAATCCCAGATCTGTGTGTGTTTGTGTGTGTTTAGTGTGTATGTGTGGTGAGTCGTTTAGTCGGGATGAGTAACAGTTCACTGTCAGACTTTAAATTTAGCTCTGACATTTCCTCAGAGTACTTCAACCCCGACAAACCAGATGAAACCAGACCGGCTGGATCCGACCAGATTGTGTTCTACTGCCATGTTTTAGAAGTTTGTTTTACTTTCAGGATTTTATGCATTCTTACATGCATTAAGAAAGCGTCTGTATATGTTCCTGTGTGTGTGTTTCTGAATACTGAGGTGTGTCAGGTGATGCTTCGGCCTGGGGCCTATGTGAGATGTTTGCAGGATATTGTACATACATGTATAAATATGTGGAAGACACACAATGTAATGCCTCATTATACTGACACAGATTAACTGCATGTACTTAGTTTTGAAAGATGTTGGTCATACATTAGCCTCCTCTGCTGTTGCACAGACTGATCTCACTTCATGTCGACATGTGAAAGGGCCCGATTCTTTTTGTTTTTCATATTAAGGGGTCTAAATAAGTTAAAAGATACCAAAGATTTTGAGGTTCAAAAAAATAATTCAGTGGACTTCTCTGAGGCAGAATCCAAAGACACTAGTTGTTTTAGTCAAGACCACACTATAACCAAGACCAGAGTGCTCCAAAACCAGGACAAGAACATAACATTTAGGGATTTAGGCAAGACCGAGACAAGACCAAGACCAAGGCAGGGCAAGACCGAGACAAGACCAAGACCAAGGCAGGGCAAGACCGAGACAAGACCAAGACCAAGACCAAGGCTGGACGAGACCGAGACAAGACCAAGACCAAGACCAAGGCTGGACGAGACCGAGACAAGACCAAGACCAAGACCAAGGCTGGACGAGACCGAGACAAGACCAAGACCAAGACCAAGGCAGGGCAAGACCGAGACAAGACCAAGACCAAGGCAGGACGAGACCGAGACAAGACCAAGACCAAGACCAAGGCAGGGGGAGACCGAGACAAGACCAAGACCAAGACCAAGGCAGGGGGAGACCGAGAGAAGAACAAGACCAAGGCAGGACTAGACAGAGTCAAGACCAAGACATTTAGGGATGGAGACCGAGAGAAGTCCAAGGCAGGGCAGGACAGTGGTGGTCTCGACCGCTCGTGATTTAAAAAATATTATTATTGTTGTGGATTTAAAGTTCACATGAACAATTTCACAAAAAAAAGCGTAGGTATTTCTCTTTGCATGTTTTTTACTTTTTCTTTTATAAGTGCTGCAGTTCAGTGTTTTGAACAGATGACTCCTAGATTCCTGACACTCTACTTTTCTTTAAGGCTCGACACAAAGCTCAGATTCTGTGTAAAATGAAGAGCATCATGATTCTCTGAACCTCTTCTGAGTCTGATGAAGATCTTTCTGTCAGTAATGTGGAGGATTCCTCTGAAATAAACCCCCACTGCTCTGAACCCCCTCTGCCTCCTCCTCCGCCTCCTCCTCCTCACTCTGCCTAAATTAACCAATCACGGGCCAGTCTGCTGCCAGCCAATCAGGAGGCTCGTAAGTGATGTCATGCAGCAGACTGCTGTTTGGTGCTGAAGCTGCTGAGCTGCAGATCTTCAGTCTGAACAGAGAGACCGAGCATCACTGCAGGGTGAGTACAGACGCACACATTTACACTTTTATATCCACATGTTTTTGAGATTATTTGTTTTTATTGCTTTAGTTTTCTGCATGTTTGCAGCTCAGAAACCTGCAGCCTCTTTCAGACAGACATTTGAAAAGCCGGTTTCCCTTCATCTGATTGTGCTCTCTTCTTTATATTTTCTAATTCTGCAGTTTGAGTTCAACACTTTCATACTTTCTTTCTTTCCATCGCTGCTTCATTGTTCCCTGCTTCTTTAAATTCTTCTTTTGAATGATTAGTTTAGTGTTTGAGCTGCGTGCACCGCACTCGCTCTTCTCTGCAGAAGGTGATGCGCTTACTGGCAACAATGACATCATCGTTTAGACCCTGCACACACACACACACTGTCACACAAGGACACAAATGCATAAAGCTTTACAAAGGCGTTTGCATTCGTCCCTAAATCAGAAATGATTAAAAAGTAAGTTGGAATTTTACAAACAGATTTGGTTTTTTTTGGCTTTTCAACAGAAAAACAGCAAATCTGATCCTGTTTCTGAAACGAACAGCAGACGTGCAGCTTTTCTCTTTTAGAAATATCTGCATCATATGGCTCAGAATGTGATTTTTGTGTGTTGAAAGTATTTTAGAATATCTGAGAAGTATGTTTGATATGTGGACAGAAGCTGCAGCTCGAGCAGTTGTGCACAGCTTCAGCTCCTTTGTTTGAATGTTTCTCTCACTTTATGCACAAAATGAGTCTGTAAACTACCTGAGAGCACATCCATGAAACTTTGAGGATGAAGCTGCTGCTGTTGTTGTTCAGTCTGGAGAGTTTGTGCAGCCGCAGGATGATGTGATCATTGGATGATTCATGCTCTGAATCTCTAAATTTAAACTCCTGCGGCGCGTCATGTCTCTGTTGTTTGTGGCTTATTTTTATTTTCACACTTTGGATGAGTTCATTTTAAACGCAACTGAATCAAAAACAGTTATTACTCAGTTATCAGTGAATGACTCAACTCAAAGATCTGGTGAAGTCTGACCTTTAGATTTAAAATTTTTTAAAATGCAGTCTTATTTTTAGTTTCTGAACGTCTGCAGGAACGTGCAGAGACCCCAGACAGATTTAGTCATTGTTTAGCATGGAAGAAATCCTCCAGGACTTTAGACTGCACACTTTTGGTTGAACGAAGAACTGCAGATAAACGAGCCAAACCAAGAAAATAAAGCATTCAAGAGGATTTCCAGAACAAGCTTTAAAGAAAACTTTAAAATGACTTTAAACTCCAGCTGATGAAGGTCTTATGTTTATAGTGCACAGAGAGCTCTGCTGGTGTTTTTTCATATCCCTCTTCTTGTTTACTTACTCAACAGGCTCTGACTTTGCACTGTGACTTTGCATCCTGATATTTTCAGACTCTTACTGACTTATGATGAAAACAAACATCAGGAGGGTGGATGTGATATCTCATAGTAACCTCATGTTAAAAAAAACACAGTAACAAAGTCACACAGTCATGCTTATAGAGGAAATTAGATTTTCAATGCTGAGTTTTAAAGACCAGAAACATAACATTCACACTTGTTTTCACTTATGATCTTTAAACTGGTACCTAAATCAGAAGTCATAGAAAGACTCTAAATATTTCCAAATGAAGCAGTAAGTTGCATTTGATCCTTGGGCTTTTGTTAATGGCTTTTAGTCATTCTTGTTTTCAGTTGCCACCTTTCATTCCTAATTTCTGCCTGTTTTTATTTTCAAGTCATGTGTGTATGTGTTCCCATAAAGCAAACTCTGGCTTTGATAGATGCTTTGCCAAAAAACTTTTTATATTACAAGGTTATTTTCTGGATGTTCTTTACCGTCCTGCTAAAAGCTGCACCACCTCCAGCTTCTTTTTCAGCTCAGTGTTTCATGGGCAGAGTATGACTGTTATTAAATTTAACACGAGTGTTATGTCTCTCCTCAGGAACAGAGTCTACCTCACCACAGTGTCCTTGATAGAAATCAGCAGCAGCAGGATGACTCTAGCAGGTATTTTACTATTTCTGACTGATTGGTTCCTTGGTTGTGTTATGTGTTGATCATTCGGCTCACCTACAGTTTTTCCTCTGTGTCTCCCTCTGAATGTTGCAGCATACAGAGAGAAGATGCGAGAGCTCCCCCTGGTGTCTCTCTTCTGCTCCTGCATCCTCCCTAAATTCAAAGAGACCACAGCCGATAAGAATGAAGGTCAGCAGCACTCTTTTTCATGTTATTACTCCCACCTGCCAGTTCCAATCTAAAAAGAGTCAAAAATCAAGATTGACTCTAAATATATTTCTTCTTATTAAGTTAACAGTCACCTGGGAAGCCATATGTGTCTAAAACCCTCAGGGTTTTTATTTATTTATATTAAAGTGTTTTCATGGTCCTTTGTTCTTCATCCAGCAGGCGTGGTGGACTTGAACTTATGCAACATCCGGGACATGGAGGTGATCGAGCTGAGCAAAAGGGCGAGCGGCCAGGCCTTTGAGGTCATCCTGAAGCCACCAACCTTTGATGGTGGCCCTGAGTTGAGGGCGACCACACCACCTCGTGGGAAACCCTCACTGGAAGAGATCCAGAAGAAACTGGACGCGGCACAGGAGAGGAGGAAGGTATGTGAGCTTTGGAGATTATTTTAATAACAGCTAGGAGTCGACAGATTTGTTCCACTATTAAGACCACAAGGCTCAGAGTCTACAATAACACTTGCATGGCTATGGCTTGGTTTTAATTTACCTTTATTTAACCCGGTAATTACCCCATTGAGATCAAGATCTCTTTCACAAGGGTGACCTGGCCAAGAGGGCAGCAGCACACGTCACAATAAACATTACATGATTGAGAAACCAACGATTAAAATGTGCAAATTGTAAAATGATTACATCAGTATGCATATGAAATACAACTTTAAAGGCTTTACCTTTTTAGTTTTTTTGTGTTAGCATGCTAAAATATATCACCAGTAAACAAAAAATACAAGTGGAGCTGATGACAGTTCAGTTTTGATGCAGGTTTTTTGGTCATAAACCAAAATACTGGACAGATTGAAAAGTCAACCTGATTATTTCACTTCAGGAACATTAATGCATAATCCAAGTCTCCAGGTTTAGTCCTCTGCTGTATGAGAATGTCTGTATAAAATTTCATGGCCATCAATCCAACCATTGCTGAGAAATTTGAGACTGGACTTCAACAAAAAAGTAGTGGCCACAGAATTGAACCCTGAGGAACCCCGTTGTTATTTTACAGGCTTTTAAATGATAATTATGGATTGAACCATGAATAGCATTTCATTTAAAATTTTAAGCATATTTTGGCAATGGAACTTTTCTTTGGCCATAACTATGATTGAGAGCCTTACATTAGACATCGTTCTTGTTTAGAGAAACGAATAGGACTGAAATTAAATTGAGCAAACACGGTTTCCATTTTATTGGTGCAACATCATTTAATTGTCATTTAGAAAAAATGTCACAAGAAAACCAGATTAAAGCTTAAAAAAATTATCCCTCTGTCTCCCTCTAGTGTCAGGAGGCGGAGCTGCTGAAACACCTAGCCGAGAGGAGGGAGCATGAGCGTGAAGTCGCTCAGAAAGCTCTGACCAAAGAGCGTCAGGAGCATCGCGCCGATGCCGACAAGGAACAGAGGCAGATGCACTTGAATGCCTCACAGGAGCGGCTGCAGGAGGAGGTGAGGATTGATTACTTGAGAGGTTTTCTCCACATTAAAATATTATTGACTGAGACAGTTCGGATTTTGTAAATGGGAATGAATCACTAAACAGAGTTTTCTTATCTTTGTGTCTTTCAGGACAAGCACAGTGTGGAGGTGAGGAAGAGCTGGAGGCGAAGGAGGGGATTATGGGTAGATGTACTGAGAGCAACTTGAGTGTACAGGAGGAGCCAACAAAAATAATACTATGGAAAAGTGCTGTTTGAGAATAAGTTCAACATTTTGAAATGTAAACCTGCTTTACTTCTCTGAAAGCCAAGATGGATTGTAAAGCCGGAGACATTTTACAGATTTATAAGCAGCGTTTCATCTATTGTGCCACTACAAAATTTCCCTTAAAAACATAGATTCCTTGATCTCACTTTTCAATGGATATATTTTTCATTCAGTCTAACTCTGCTATGGATATATGTTGAAAATATTGCTCAAAATTAGTATTTGTTGAGAGTTTGTGGCAAAGTTATTTCTCCAGTAAACTCCAGAAGCATGTGGGTGCCTTTGGATATTGAAGCCATATTTTATTGCGAAAAATGTAGTTCTCAACATGATTTTTGTACTCTTAGACATGTCTTCACTCTTCCAGATTTAGTCATTCATCAGATGATAATCTTATTAGATTTCTCCTCACCGGATCCAAGAAAGTCAAATACTGAAATATTTGCAGTGGCAGTTTAAACAGCAAATCTGAATCTGAAGAAATGTTTTACCTTTGTCCTTCATGTAAGAGTTTGCATGTGTGAGCAGAGTGTTAATAATAATAATAATAATAATAATAATAATTTATACTTTATTGATCCCGTGAGGGGAAATTCGTTTTTACACTCTGTCTAGTTAACATGCTGCACAAACATAGTTAACTCCGCCCCCTTTCTTCTACCTTCAGGTGTCTTGATGGCCTGATCACAACACAAGCTGAACTTCATTTGGAAGCCATTTTGGAGGGCTGATGGGTGCCGTAAACCAGGCGCTGCCCTGACTTGGAGATTGACAGGAAGCGACTCTGAAAAGAGTGAGAGAAGAAGACAAAGAGGAGGACTGAGGGCGAGGGGAACGTCCTCTGTAATAACAGGACTCTTCTTAACGTGATGAACTCTTTCTTACGAGAAAACTTGTGGAACTGATGATGCCGCAGATTCAGTCATCGATAGATGGATCACAGGGGGTTTAACTGTGTTTGTTACCCTGCCAACAGTGCCATTGTGTTTATGTATGAGTGGTTATGTATGCATGAAGGATTCGACATCTTCACAACCAAATACAACCGGAACTGAACCCAAAGGAACCCTTACTTAAAAAGGAACTAAGTTTATACAATTTGCACTGGGACATTTGAACTTCTACTCTCATGTCACAGAGAGAAAAATGGGCTGAACTTCCTCTGAGGGTGCCAAGAGAATTGGAAAAAAAATGGGGTAGCCTCTACTTCCTGGAGCTAACCTGAGTCAAGTGGCTTCAACGACTGGACTGTTGAGGTTTTTGCATTGCCAGTAAAACGGAACATCAAACAGAAATGTTTGATCCGAATGAGATAACAAAGTGAGCCTCTGAGAAAGTACCTCAAATCCAGCAAGTGAGCCTCGTCCTCACAGAAACACAGTCAAGACTATGAAGACCAGTCAGAGACTAGTCCGAGCAGTTTTGAGTAAAAATGGGGTCCTTGCACAGATCAAGACCAGTAGAATAGGGGAAATATCGACTTGAATTTGTTGGGATGTAATATTGATGTAAAAGATAAAAACTGAGTTAGAGACAGTAAAAATAAAAAGTGCAGACGAGTGACATCCGCCATCAGACCTTGAACTAGGTCAGTTTAAAATGTTTAGTCCAATCCCACGCTGAGGAGAAGTCATACCCAAAAAGACCAGTCAGATTAAACAGGGACAGAAACAGAAACAGAGACAGTGGCGGAGACAAAGCCCTCATGACATTACTTGTGTACTACTGTCCTTCTTTCATAACCCGCATATTTCATTTTCCAGTTTCTGCATTTGGTTTTGTCTCGTATTTCCTAAATCAGGAAAATAATTAGCATGTTAGCATCGATGCTACCAGCTGCAGTTATAAATGTCTGCATTTCTTTCTTGTGTAAACTGGATGATAGGACAATATGAGTCCTGCTGCAAGATGTTAGCACAGATATTTTGCTATGCTACATCAACAACAAACAGATAGCTAGCTCATGCAGACATTAGCTATACTACAGGCTACATACAGGACGCCTCCTCCCCCGAACATGAAACCCTGAATGACTTTTACAGATGAAAAAGTGAGAATTGACTGTGTACATTGTTTACAGATGTTTGTGTGTGTCAGTCTGTTTCCCTGGCAACGTCGATGTAAATAAGTCAGGGTGATGATGATGATGTACAGAAATAGCATTATATTTTAAAATCAAGAATAAAACAATGACACTTTACTTCCTCGTTCAGTTTCTTTTATTGAGTCAACAGCACATTCAGCCTCTGAACACTGAATACTTTAAATTGTAATAAATACCCTTCATCATGACGTATAAATAAAAAATGAATTTAAAGTAGAATAAAAATAAATAGTTCATAACAAATAAACACATCCAATAATAATAATATGTTAAATATATTGAACTTAGGCTTCAGTGTTTCTCCACTTTTCTGACTGACATTTCAAGACGAAGAAATCTTTTTTCAAAAAACAAAAATAAAATTTTAATACCAAAAAAGACTCAATGAATTAAATCCAGCACATAGCAAAGCAGCGCGCCACAAAAATATCTGTTCTGTAACTTTTAGTCAAAATCATACGAACATCTACATCTAGGGTTAATTTGTTTCTATGCAGATGATTCATTGTTATACTCTCCTAAATCATAAAAAGATTTAGTTACCCAAAAGCTTTCACTCAAACGTAGTCATTACTTTATATCTTATTACTTCATTTTGACATTTAACTCATGAGACTATTAAATCATAACTTGGACTTTTTGAGTCTCAGGAAAACAGCTGAAAGTTACTCATTATCAGGTAAATAAAAGTTAAATAAAATGTAGGGAAGCATGTCCTCTTGGGGCTTTCATACTTTTAGTCAAAAGTACACTTTTTAAAAAAATGGTTCCTTTTTTTGGCAGTACTTTTTTTCCGTACAGAACTTGCTTTTTGTGTCACACTGATCCAGCAGCTGGTCCGATCTCTGCTGGTCTTCATTGTTGGTGTTTTATGATTGGGCGGACGCAGGTACAGCCCACAGCGATGAGGCGTGACTCCAGACGGAAGTGGTAGCTTTCATCCGATCCTGACTCCGCCCCTGCTGATTTGACCCGGCGCAGCAGCATCACCTGGTGCATTATGGGTCTGGACTCCAGGCCCAGGTCCTCCTGGCCCTCAGAGTCCAGACATCCCTGCAGCAAACAGCGAGCCTCGGAGAGCACCGGTGGGTACAGAGAGTCATCGCGGGAGATGCTGAGGACGGAGGGAGAGAAGGGACAAACACTATAAATCACTTTATCATAACAACTGGAACATGTGGGAACTCTGAGGGTCAATAAAGTATTTCTGATGCTCATGTTTATATAAATGTGCGCGTGTGTGTGTGTGTGTGTGTGTGTGTGTGTGTGTGTGTGTGTGTGTGTGTGTGTGTGTGTGTGTGTGTGTGTTCATTTGTTTGTGTTGTCGTGTGTTTTCATACTTGTAAGTCCATGGGGAGATGGAGGCGTTGTGCAGCGGCCTGATGTTTCTGATACGGGAGAACGTGTTGTAGTTGAGCTGCAGGGGGACGGTTTCCAACGATACGCTGCCAGACAACTTCCTGTGGGTCTTCCCTGCATGTTTTGTCACAGCTGCCCCCTCTGTCATCATGGTCATCATCATCATCATCAACGCCGCTGCCACATAGACAACCTGAGGAAGAGGAGGGGAAGCATGTTAACCTTTGGACTCAACTTATAGAAATAACGTGTTTGTTTTTATGATTCTAAAAGATAATTTTAAACTTGTTTATCCTACAACGTTCTCCATTAGAAGAGCTGATAACATTTTTTTAAATGAGGCAAAGAGGAAAGAAAAGATGATCCCAGCTCTCATTGGTTGGGAGGCGGGGTTACACCCTGGACTGGTCGCCAGCCAATCACAGGGCTGACATGTAGAGACAGACAACCAGCCACACTTACATTCACACCTACAGACAATTTAGAGTCCCAAGTTAACCTAACGAGCATGTCTTTGGACTGTGGGAGGAATCAATAAACCAATACTCCAATAGCAATACAATGTCTTAAGGGCGACCACACCTGTCGTAAAAGTGAGAATCCACCAGATGGTTGGTCATTGAAAGGTCAAAATCATGAATTAAAATCCAAGATGTTCCTACTCTTAACTTCTCCTGTTACAAAGATTAGTTTGAAGAAACTCTCCTACAGGCCGCTCCAACTCGCAGTCATCAGCTTTTGTTTTTTTAATTATCCAAAGGTCATAGTTCAAGACTTCATATCAAGTCAAGTATACCTTTAAATATTGTGCTACTCTACTGAAAAAGATCCAGTGCTAGTGGCAGGATCCAGTCATTAACTTTTATCTTTCTCATTATCCCAGAATTATGATTCCGCTTTGTTACATTCACAGACAAACTGAGGTTTTCCCAGGAATAATAAGTAGCGCACCCTCAATGTCAGATGGGGCCGCCTGAGGGAGGTTTCCTACTTTCAATGCAAACTTTGCACGTTTCGAGCCACTGCTCTGGTTACAGGTGTGTCCGCTCTTGGGGCCCCCCTAGTTGCCCATTGCCTGCATTGCCTGTTGACAAGCAGCACCTCTGAGTATGAAGTACTCAGTTGTTGATTTGCATTTTTGCATGAGCAAAATTATAGAAACTTTCGACCAGAGTGATGTAAATGTAATCAATAAAACAAAATATATTAAACTTTTTCTGCATGATTCACAATGAAAAACGAGCTTGTTTTATATCTTCCAAATCTCTAAGATTAAAGTTAAAAATCACACAAAAAATGAATTTGAAATTTGATAAACTAAGTCAAATATAAAACAAAATGTGCATCTTTTTGATTTATTTTACGTGCAGTTATTTTGTGGAAGCCAAGAGACGTAAAAGTTTGTTAAAGGAATCATGAAAAGTGTCACTGTTCATTGTTAATTTAGAACTAATCGATTATTTGTTTTTTTCTCAAATCTCCTCGGATGTGAAAATCTGAAAATGACTTTTCATTATGAGTTTTAAAAACCAGCAGGTGCGTAAATATACTTTAATCTTTGTATTCAAATCATTATTTCAGAATGTCTCTTGAACCTTTCAGGCCTCCGTCTGTCTGCACTGTTAATGATTTTTTCTGCTTTAACACCTCCCATGTCCGTCCTGAACTTTACTTTAAAGATTCTTGAAGACGTTTTAAGACTCAGATCGCGCAGATGAAGAAATTAGCTGCTCTTACCGTCACTTTGGAGGAGCTCGATGTCGAAAACATGCTGATTGTGCTTTGAGTTGTCCTTTTTTGATTCGTCTTCAGATCTGGATTTTTCGAAGATGTTCCAGTCGTCCTCGGGGTCCTCGGGCTCTGCTGGAGGTTCAGGTGATGTTCTGTAACCTGGCGGTTTGATGGTTCTTCTCTCCTGAAGTTCAGAGCTGATCTGTGTCCTCTGCTGGAGTTTCTGTTTGCAGGTGGTCTTCCTATGGTGTTCTGCTGGACGTGGCGTCCTCCTCTGTTATTTATCCAGATCGTCGTCAGAGTCAACGTGACTTCCTCTGGTGATGTCATCACCTTTCCTGTCATCCTGTCATCCTGTCATCCTTTTACCTCTCCATCGTAGTGTCTGTGTGTGTCTTTGATCCTCCTCTGTAAACCACAGAGACCAGACTGCATGACAAGGCCCAATGCTCGACCCACTTTCATAGGCGATGTCGAGGTTCAAGAATCCTGCAGAGCAAAAGTTGCTGCAGATTTTCTAGGTCATCATTTTTATCTCCAGCATCAAGTCTGCACCTTAAAATATTGGTTAATAAAAATTGCAAATCGAAAGCATTGTGACTCTTTCCATCGTCTTCAGGAAACTCCCATGGACTCTTCTTAACCGGCTTAACCTCATACTTAAGTTTGCTTAGTCAGTAAGTCCTTAAGTGTTCAAATTAGGAGAGATCTTACAGCATGCTGGGTAATTTTTCTTGCATCCTGTGCAACACATTTGACTCTGTTTCATAACGAGAAAACCAACCCTGCTTCTATAAAGAAATGCTTTTGACCTTGACTAAACCCAAACCACCTTCAGGATAAACTCAAGAATAAATAACGTTTCAGACATCACATTTCAAATGTGTTTGTGATTCAACATCACATTTCAAAGAGGATAACTGATCTAAGATGCATCCTAATTGTGGCCTAAGCAAAAAACTGTGTAATGACTAGAAGGTTCGCTACTTTATGAGGCATTAGAGCTACCAAAGCATCCTGCCGTCTCAGCTGATCTCTCAAACGCACCCTTCTTTATTGTCTATATTACTTTAGATAAGACCATCGTTTACATTATGCTGCATTAAAGACTTGATTCTAAAGATTGAAACATGATAAAAATGTCCACTGAAGTCATGAATACACTGAGAAGAAGGACGAGTTTCTCACTGACCTTAAGTATTCTGCCTTTTGTCTAAATGTTAGAGTCTCCCCCTGCTGGTCTTTAGACAGAATGCAGGTGGCTCCACTTTCCCTGGTGTTCAAATGGGAACAAATCCCTACAACAGGATGAACATATTGAGGAAAGTATGAACCCTCCACAGTTTTCCAGGCTTCAGGGTTTATATTGCATCAAAGTCATTTAGTGCTACACACCAGCTTCTGTTTCATCTCAAGTTCATCCTGCCCCTGGTTCTGCATTTTCAAAAATCACAGCATCGCTCCAACCTCAAGGCTGTTCGGAAACTATTATCTGCCCAGGTGATCTTGTAGTGTGAGTCATTTCAAGATCCAATCTAACCTTCCTGATCTACTCGGCGATCGTTGGGGACGCACACGATTTATTTCAAACATGTTTGATATTTAAGATTTAAAATCTGGGCGAGAAGTCGCGTGTGACTAAAATCACCAAGAGAGACGAGGGAGGACGGTAGTAAGTGTTGTAGGTAACCCGCACATGTGAGCTGGATAACTGCAATACTCATAGTTACAATCAGACCTCCAGCACTCACTGAAGAATATACAACCCATGTGTTCTGCGTCTCCACCAGACATTTCTTCACCCAAAATAAAAATAAAATGTTTTTATGTCTGATTCCTTTCTGCACAAAGCATTATAATCACACATTTTACCCTCCTGCTCTATTGTTACGTAAGGTCATGTGACCTCCATCGCGCTAGATAATCTCAGTAACATCCTGTATTATGTCATGTGTCGAGATTTTCTTATTTTATAGTGCGAGTATGTTTGAGATTACGGAGAAGAAGACCTGTTAGGGTTCTCCTAAAGTGTGTGATGCTAACCGAATTCAAAATCGGAAAGGATCTTTAAACTCCTGCAGTGTGAGGCAGGCTTAACTGAAGGCTCTGCCCCTGAAGGTGCGCAGGTTGGTGTGGGGAATGGAGAGCAAACTGGTGTCCATAGTTGGAGAAGGTCAGAAAGCTACTGGAGGGATAGGCCGTGATGAGATTTGCAGGTGAGGTGGAGGATTTTGTACGTGATGCAGGACTTGACCGGGAGCCGGTGAAGGTGGGTGAGGGTCGGGGTGACATGCTGCCAGGGCTTAGTGCGGGTGAGTGTTGTGTAAGAGGTCAATGACGCTGCAGGAAGAGCAGTGATGTCACATCATGACGTCACAGTTGCTTTAATATCTGATGCAACAGGAGAAACTTCCCCACATGATGATATGTCCTCACTCAGTGCGCCCCCACCCCCTCCTTTATCTGCTGAGTTGCCTCTGCAGCATCACTCTTGCTGCAGGAAGCGGACGCTGCAGAGTCTGACCTGGTTTACAGTCGAGTTGTGACTCAGGTCTGTCTGCTTTCCGCTCTGACCTGGTTTGATTAACTTATAAGTATCGGGTCGATACTTATCAGTGATCTGAGAGACTCCTGCATCAGTTCACAAACATCCCCCATAAGGTTTTTCTTTGTAGCCCCCCCCCCATCAAAGACAGTCACTGACGTGGATTTACTCTCACAGAATCACTGAGATCCGACTCCTTGAGTTTATCAAAACTGATTGTTGAGAGAAATCAGGAATCAAATGAAATCTTTAGATGATTTTGTTTAATTGAATTTTTCTCAGCGGAAACAAAATGACATATTTTTGTAGACCAACCCGGAATTTAGCATCGCAATGTTGTGTTTAAAAAAAAACCTTTTGCATCAGATTTTGGATCATGGCAGAAAATAAGCTCTGTGGCAAACGTACGTTTATGATGATAATCTTCACAAATGAACAACACGTTTATGATGTTTGAAGCGTTAATGCAATCCCCCAGAAGTAAAAATCTAGCTTTTATGCTACAAGCTAACTCCACCATGGTCGCGTGGCTTCAACGTCACCACCTCTCTGATGTGTTTTATGGGTGATCTTGACAAACATTTGCTGTTTAGATTTGTTATTTTGGTCTTTAAATGTCTAATGGTGTATTTTTTGTGTTTGTATGTGCAGCTGCTCGTTGTTTGAGTAAAAAAAACTCTGTTAATCGTCTCAAACAGGACACTTAAAAAAGAGATTCGTAATCTCAACGAGTTTCTTTCCTCGTTAAATAAATATATATATATGTATTTTTTACCCACATAAGAATCTGCCTCCTAATTCTTCTCTTTGGTTTATATGCAGAAACTGTAGGTATAGGAAGGGATTTTGCTGTCAGAAGTATCAATAGTATTGTTCACTAGCAGGCTTTCGGTTTTTTTGCAGATAAACCGTTTACATGGAGGGTAAAAGAGGCAGAACACAATTTGCTGCATGATGCATCCTGGAATTAATCTCTATAGAGATCTGTTTGCAAGTGAAGCTTTTGGGTGGCAGCTCTCAACATCCACTTCGTTCTCGCTTCTTAAAATGTCAGAGAAACTTTAACGCTGGCCGAGCATGGAAGAGGAAGTCTTGGCTTCAGTCTTTTATCGCTAACTGCTGATTGTTGCACACATACGGAACCCGGGACGTGACATGGATTTTGGTTTTGGTTTTGTTTCTGAAACGCATGTGCACTTTCTATTTTGCACACCAGTTTTATAATTGCACACGCATTTAAGGGCGTTATCAAAACATGTGCAATTAGGTTATTTGCATGCTTGTTTTATTTCCCCGTCCCATTTTATAAATTGCACATGCTTTTGTTTGCAGTTGCTCTCCTTATCCTGCAGGTGTGTGTGATAGGGGGTGTGGTTAGATGCTCACCTGTTCCACACTCTGCTCATCAACCTGACAATGAAAGCTCTTCACTCCCTCGCTCTGCCAGATAATTCTCGTTCAGTAATGCACCGTGCACAGTCCCTGAGTTTCTTTACACAGTGCTGTCTAGCTGCCTATTTTGCAGTGTTTGTATCTTGCAATTTGTCTTCTTATACCTATGATTCTTTATAAAACAGTGAGCAAACAGAAAGTGCATGTCCGTTTAAAGACAAACATGGACACTCAGAAACTGTCAAATGTTGCTGAGCCGGCTTATTTTGAGAGAAACTGAAAGCTCAAATGATTTGCAAACTTGACCTTAAATCCCTGCAAACTCAAAAATTATGCTTTGGGTTTTTTTTTTCGATACCTTTATTTTAACGGGTTATCTTGTTGAGAATTTGTATTGCAAAACAGAAATACTCCAGCAAAGTCCAAGGAACTTTTACTTGGGTCGAGCACTCGATCGATGTTGACGTGCTTTTTCCACACAAGTTGGAATTCATGTCTTACCTTCTCGAAAAACTTCCCCACCTCAAAACTTAATTCACAAACTTCCAGCAAATGTTGAAGAGTGTACGGAGGAAAAGATGATGTCACCTCTCATAGTAACTGTTTTCCTCCCCCACCCACCCACCAACATAATTAAGGTTGTCACAATAAATCTGTTTCCTGCAAGGAAGTCTCAGTAGGCATGTTAGTTGTGGTTTTCAGATGTACGTTATCACACTCAGATTTAATAATCAGAGGAGTATGTGTCACCCGTTCAGCGAGGTGTGGTCTGTTTGATCAGCGAGGTGTGGTCTGTTTGATCAGCGAGGTGTGAGTCTTTCTAGGACTTTTATTGCTGCGGTGACTGGAAACACCTTTACAGAGAGGTGAACCAGAAACTGCAGCGGGGGCTTTCAGAACAAAACAAGAGTCTCTGCTGCGGTCTGAGGGAAACACACACTCTCTGACTGACGGGAGTGGAGGACGTATTCACAACCACCCTTTAACAAATACTCTGTTAGTAAGTGAGTGGGCCAATGCAAAGTGGAAAGATCAATATAAAAGTACACGATGGATGTGGAGGAGTAGAAGTTAAAAGATGCATAGAAGAAATGATTGTAGATGAAATTATGAGGGCATGAGACAAGAGGGCAAGAGTCGGGAGGGCATGAGACAAGAAGTCATGAGACGAGAGGGCGTGAGACGAGAGGGCATGAGACGAGAGGGCGTGAGACGAGAGGGCATGAGACGAGAGGGCGTGAGACGAGAGGGCGTGAGACGAGAGGGCATGAGACGAGAGGGCGTGAGACGAGAGGGCATGAGACGAGAGGGCGTGAGACGAGATGTCATGAGACGAGAGGGCATGAGACGAGAGGGCGTGAGACGAGAGGGCGTGAGACGAGAGGGCGTGAGACGAGATGTCATGAGACGAGAGGGCATGAGACGAGAGGGCATGAGACGAGAGGGCGTGAGACGAGAGGGCGTGAGACGAGACGTCATGAGACGAGAGGGAATGAGACGAGACGGCATGAGACGAGAGGGAATGAAACGAGAGGTCTCCAGGTCTCCAGGCTGCAGCCATACCCGACTCTAAATCGGAGCAACTGTTTTAATATCTAAGCTTCCTGATTGATAAGAATTTAATCAGACAATACTGAAAATCAGGAGAGCAGTGTGTCGTATTATGAGTAACAAAACAACATTAACTTTTGTCATATTGATAATCTCATTCTCTCTTTGTAAATCTTTGTTGCATTTAGAGTACACTAATGAATAAAGCAGAATGCGCTTCATGGTATCGCTTCCCGTGTTGCGAAACAGAAATCTGTTATTGAGCGCATAAGGCCGACCTCAAAGACAATCTGAGATATGGACTGTGCCGCAATAGAAGGTTTCGAGCCTTTTTTTGCCAGCCAAAATTATCACCCCTAACCATAAATACTTTCACTGTCACTGTGAATCATACATCTTTCTAACCAAATCAGCATTAGGCTAAGATAAAAATGATAATTTCTTATGGCTCAACTCACTTCTGAGTCTGTGATTAGGTATGCAGTCAGACAGTTATGCAATGCATCCATACAGATACAACCCAACATCTGAGGTTAGCGATAAGAAGAGCATCATGATGTTTTCTTCGGCTATCAGGACTAACTTGGCACAAGTGGAAAAAGTGAGTAGTTAGTGCAGAACTACTAATTTCCATCCTTCATCAAAACGTTGCCTCTACAGTTCTAGTCGTGCAGTTTTTGGTCTTTATTGATGATTTCAGCCTCCTTATGTTGCTGTAGCAGGCTGCAGATGTTAATTCTACAGTTTGAGGTTCGTAAAGTTTCCTGTTTGTGTCGAGGAAGAACTGCTGACAGCTCTGACGGTAACCAGCGGCGGGTTAGAATCCGGAGTTTTATCAGATGAATCGTTGTCTCTGTTAAACCAGGTCAGACAAAAGTTGCTGACGGCTCTGAAAAAAAAAAAAAAAAGCAACCCTTGGTGCTCAAACCTCAGAGTCGGCCACATCATATCTAAAACCACACACATTCCCCCCCAGCTGTGATGTAACAGCGAGGGGCGGGAGGCTCTCTGCTGTATGAGTGCCATATATGGAAACAGGAAGCTGATGACTGGATTACACTGACTGCTTTCTGAAAACAGTGGGTTTTGTTTTGTGTGTGTGTGTGTGTGTGTGTGTGTGTGTGTGTGTGTGTGTGTTTGTGTGTGTGCAAACAAACATTGCAATTCACATATTCCACATTAATTACGTTAAAGTATCCAGCCTGTTTTTATGGCTAAATCTGACCACACAGAGCCAGAGGGTTTTGTAAAGAGGGATGCAGCAGATGGATGATCCTCAGAGGGTTGCTGAGGGAAGGGAAGGAGAAGAAGAGAGAGGAGAGAAGAGTGCGGGTTTAATGTACCGTGCGTCTGAGAAGCTGAGACAAGACCCAGAACGTGTTTGGACTGATTTATTTGTTCACACACGCCCACATCGCTTACATTAGCATGCAGTATGTATATATTTGAGTTTGTAGTGTGTGGTTTCAGACACATCCTCTGTCTTTTAAGCATCTCCCTCTATTCCCTCTCAACTCCATCACAGTCTGAGATGTTTGTTCAACATGAGTTTGGTTCTGCTCGAGGTTTCTGCTTCTTTAAGGAAGTTTTGTTTTGTCATTGTTACTTTGCTAAATGTTGCTTAGTGCTCACGGTGGATTAATGTTGGGTCTTTGTAAAATACAGCAATGAGTAGCCTATGAGTAGGTTAAGGTCTAAATGGTAAATGGACTTGAGCTTGTTTAGTTCTTTTCAAGTCTTCCCACTACTCAAAGTGTTTTTACACTTTCTCTGAGCACCCGACGTGATCTGGTTGTAGTCCTGCTCCTGAACCTTAGTTAACATATTAACATGATTTGATTGATTGATTGATTGATTGATTGATTGAATCCTCGCCCTGCTCAGCTCCACCAGTCCATGCTCACACCCTTGCCTCACTTTGGTCCGCCATCTTTCCCTTCCCAGCTCACTCCTAACCTGAACCTCAATATGCTGTTAGCAACATACTGAAAGTGTACTTCTGTTCTGAGCTGTTCGATCAGTTAGCATCAAGCTAACTAATGATTCAACAATATGCTCATGTTCATAACTAACACATCTACGTAGTCATTTTGATAATACTTTTGCAACATGTACAATGTAGTAGTTAGTTGGCTGGCTAGCGGCCTCTGGGATTGAACAGTCTGAGAGCAGTCTGAGTGCATTGTGGGGCGGTTTAGTACGACCAGTGTGCTTCCGGTTCTTACTTTAAAAATATGATTTTATCGCACACACAAAAATGCATTCTATGATTTTGGATCCTACTACGACAAAGTTCTTGTTTGTTTTTATGCGCTGAGATATCCCATCGTATGCAAATGTGTCCTTTGCATCTTTTTGAGCACATCATTTTCTGAGCGCTTCATCAGGAGGTGTTTGTGTCTGGGGTGAAGCAGCAGAGAAGTTGACTCATCTCTTTTGGTCTGCAGGAGTTTCAGTTGTTTTCTTATCTTGCCAGTCAGAGATGTTATCAGTAAACACAAAGTGATTCTCATCAGTGAAACCTTCATCAGCTCACTTTAGTGGATCAAGCGCACAGATTACAGGAATCTCCCGTCTGATGGTTATCATCACCGAATCTTATCAGATCTGAGGGGTTCACAGATCTTCTTAAAGACAACTCGACTCAGCAGTAGCATGAAGACGCTGGACAGAACCAAAGAGACATCATGATGCTAAGACGCAGCGTCTGCACTCTGCTGGTGAGCATCAACTCTACTTTAACTTAAGTCATCTACACGGCTAGAAAAAATGAGAAACGCTCAGTTAATTGCAAAAAAAATGGTTATCCAGTCAAATTAGCAGACTGGTGCTGAATATCGCTGACAAAATCATATAGTTTAAAATGAAATATTGAGCAATTTAACGATTGCATGCTTGTCTGCATACTTCAGCTAACATACATATCTCAGTTAAATTACATTGTATTGAAAGAGTAAACATTGACTGATTATTTGCAGTTATTTGGAGTAAAACAGGGTATGAGATACAAAGTTAACCTCAGTAGAGTTATGTGGTTTTATACTGAAGGTTGTTTATTTTATGAACTCTTGACACAAATGCCTAACAAACTTAGCAGCAGGTAAGTTTCATGTTTTGTATTGACACAGTGTTTAATGTTTAATTGCATCGTCCCTATTAAAGGATCAATCAGTAAGATAGTGAGTGAAATGATAAAGTGAGCTTACTCTATGATCAGACATTAAGGAAACATGCTGTGTTGAAGTGCTGGCTTCTCTGACAACAATGCAGCAGCCAGTATGTCCTCCTTCTAACTTTAGATTCTGGTCCTGAATGCTCTGGATTTGTTTGGACCAGAGAAGGTAGGCGGTTTTAGGGCAATTTAAGGTGATGCAGAGCTGGCTAAACACTGATATTTATAACTGGCTGAAAAAGTGAGGATGGTCAGAATACAGATGTGGAGTCAAAAACTGTGAACACATTCCTTACTGTGAGTATCAATGTCTTCTCAGGTATGGTGCAGTGTGTTGTGGGTAGTCTCCTCCTCCTCCTCTATGGTGAAAGCTCCTGCTCCTGCTTGTGACTCCAGGTTGACATTCTCCTCAGACGTCTCCTCATCAGCTGAAGGGAACGGGGACATCCACATCAGATCCCTGTCGCCGTGGAGATGGAGGTCAGTCTGCGAACACAGAAACCTGTAAAACTAATAATACATGAAATACTTCCTCTTAATATCAGATGTAAGAGCCCAAACTGAGGTTGCTCATGTGAACATTCAGCTGTAGTTTGTTGTAGTGACTGTAGGTGTCGCTGTAGGTCTTTACAGCTCAGGTAAACATTTTAGGAAGTCCATGGCTGTTTTGGAAACCTCTTACTATACTAGTAGAACCTACAGATTAGCCAGAATGCAGTCTGCAAACAAATGCAGGATCACATGACTGAGCTGTTGTTCCTTCAGGTCACACACGGAGAAGAACCGGATCCGCTCCACAATCTTCGAAGCCGAGTGCAGCAGCAGCTCCTGCATCAATCCCAACTCGGGACAGATGGACGGACACAACTTGAACTCAGTCCCCATTTACCAGAACATCCTGGTCCTGCACCGGCAGGGCAGAGGACGCTGCTACAACGCATCCTTCCAGTCTGTGGCTGTGGGCTGCACCTGCGTCTGGGCCAAAACCTCCTAAAGCAACACATATTTATACAATATACTCTGTAATCAGGGACATCGTTTGTATTAACATAAATATAATAAAACTGTGATCTATCTTTCTATCTGTTCTATGATCCTCATTATTACCAGAGGGGTCAAATAACAAACTGCAAGATCATGCCTAAGTCAAAAAATAAATGGTTTCCAACCCAGAGCTTCGTATGCCATCAGCTTTTTTTGTGTATGATCAAGATATAACAATTTTTAAATGGGCAGGTAAAGCTGGAGAAGAGGGCTGGGTGAGCTAACACTAATTTATAAGCTAACTGTAGCATCTATGATTCCATGTTAAAGGAAGAATGTGTGACTTTTTGATCCAGTAGCTGTCGCCCTTGAGTGAAACCAAAACAAACTGCTGTTTGGCCACGCCTCCTCCATACAGAAGCCTCCGCCCTCCTCCAGAGACACACCTCCACTCACGTTCACACGAAGGAGTTATGAATTAAAACGCACCTTAATTAAACAACATTAAGCGCAAGCTAGCTGTCCTTGCAAAATTGTCCTTTAATGGAGATGATTGCTTGTGGACCGGTATCGTTGTGCTAGCATGCTAATGTTAGCGCTCTTTAGTTAGCTCGTAGCTTACATTGCATGTAAACTGACACAGAACAACGTGATCTAAAACTTTTACTCACTTACGTTATTCTCATTTTCTCTAGTCCTTGACTAAAACAGCTTTTATACGTAAGGCCGTCCCTTCCATGTAAACACAGCTTATACAACAGTACAGCTGGCGGGACTCGAGCTTCTCACTTATTGAAGACAGGTGTTATAAATCATTTCATTTGTAGTTTGGTTATGGCTGCAACCTTACCGGTGTTACGGTCTAAGTGAGTGACAGGCCCCCTGCACACAAGATGATGATTTCTCAGTGATATGTATGGTCTTGGTCTTGGTCTTGTCCCCTAAATGTCTTTTTCTTGTCTTGGTCTCAGAGCACTCTGGTCTCGGGTATGTCTTGGTCTTGGTCAGTGTGGTCTTGACTACAACACAAATAAAGGCCTTTAGCCTTCATTTAGAAAAATAAAGATAGATCAACAGAGTCAGGTTTATATTTTGTCTCTAAAACAGTCCTGTGAGGTCAATTGGCGTCTTTAGCGTTTGTAACAGCACGTTTTATCGCTGCAGGGTGTGTACTGTGTGTGTCTGCAGTGTGAGTCTCATGACGACTGAAATCCTCTACTCAGAAAAACTCATTCAGTCTGAAATCAGCCGGAATTAGCTGATAACAAGAACACATTGTGGCCTGTTTGTGTGTGTGTGTGTGCGTGTGTGTGTGCGTGTGTGATACCATGCATGTGACAGCGGCCAGACTGCAGTGAGCGGTTTGCTGGTCAATGACTCTCATAGAGCAGCACCACTCAGGACCGATCAGCTTCTACTGAAATACAATCGAGTAAAATAGAAAATAAAAAATGCCTCCTGCATTCTTGAGGAAGCTTTCGTCCTGAAGCCGACACACAGGAAGGAGGTAGGTAGGTTTATTTCATCTGTCGACATTCTTGCAGTCTTTATCTTTTAACTGAAGTTCACTTTTTTTTCCTGGCGTCTGCCTGATGATTACAAAAGGTGGGCGGCTGTGGCTCGGTCGGTAGAGTCGGTCGTCTTTCAACCGGAAGGTTTACCGACACACCAGTGAAACAACCCCCAACTTCAAGAATCATTTTATTCAGCATTTTACTGAACAACAAACTGCACCTCCCATCATGCCTCTGGTGTCGTTCGCTCCTCCCTCATTGTGCCTCACCTTCAGCACTCTGCTGGACCGCCTCCTCCCTCCCTCCCCTCCACCATCAGAGATGTGGACGCCCCCCCTCTGTTTCGCGAGCGGTTCATCCTGTCTGGCTATCGTCCCGTGGGCCTGTCATGGCGGTGTTACCTCCTCAGCCTCTTCCAGATCCACAACGAGACTGTGAACGTGTGGAGCCACCTGCTGGCCGCCGTCTTTGTGGTGATGAGGTTCATGGTGTTCATCGTCCTGCAGGGAGGGGTAATCAATTTAAATCTCACGTTTGACCTGCTGATTGATTTGATTCCCCCCGACTGATCTTTGACCTCCTCAGGGGATCCTGGGTTTTCGTCTGCAGGGTCCTGAAGGTCAGGGGTTTTCTGTGGACGTCGCCTCACTGCCTTTGGTTCTCTATGTATTCTCTGCTGTCACATACTGAGCTGCAGGTGAGCCAACAAAAAAACCTTCACATGTAAATAAACACATGTTCCCCTTAATTCAAAACATTGTAGAGAGCTGTCTCCCCCCGCCCCCTCCTCTCTAGAGTCGATGCTCACACAGGTTGCCATGTGGTGGACACTGAAGCTTCAGTGTTTATCCAGCTCTGCATCGGTCTGTAAACCTTTCTGTGTTCTAACCTCTCTCCATTTTTCAAAATCATTCCAATATTGATCCTAGTTTGAGCACGTTTCTGCTCGTGGAGCTTATTAGAAACATGCAGAGGCTTTTTAGGTCGGGTACAATCACTTCTATCTGAACCACTTCTCTTGGTTGACCTGATAACTGCTCTCATATCTGGCAAACCGAGGGGCGTCCAAAACGGCCGTGTGGGGGTTCCTTAAGACCCCCTACCTTCTCTGGTCGAAACAAATCCAGAGCATTCAGGACCAGAATCTAAAGTTAGAAGGAGGACATAATGAGAAGAGAAGCCAGCACTTCAACATAGCATGTTTCCTTAATGTCTGATCATAGAGTAAGGTCACTTTATCATCTCATTCTGTAGATATCTCACAGAATGGCCCTCAAAATATGAAAAAAGGGCCTTAAACTAATTGTCCTGTTGTTGCAGTGCTGTGGCTCACCTGTTGCAGTCGCACTCGGAGGAGGCCCATTACTCGGTGTTCTTCCTGGACTATGTTGGCATGGCGGTCTACCAGTATGGCTGTGCTCTGGCTCTGTTCCTTTACAGCTCTGACATCGACTGGTCACAAAGCATGCTGGGACAGGTCTGTTATTATTATTATGCATTACATCTGTATTCAGTGAATGTGTTCATATGTTCTCATCATGCATATTCCTTGTCCTGCAGGTCTTCCTCCCAGCTGCCGCCCTCCTCGCCTGGTTCTCATGCACCACAGGCTGTTATGCAAAGCTTCGTTTCCGGCGGCCGTACCCGCTCCACAGGAAGCTCTGTCAGGTGGTGCCATTGGGTGTGGCCTACCTGTTGGACATCAGTCCCGTCGCTGACCGTCTCCTCACCCACAGGTGGACAAGCAACCCTGCACTACCACTTCACTTCCTGCAGGTGGTACTACTAAACGATCAAACTGCATCTGTTGTTGTTGATTCAACCTGGAATGATTAGTTAATTACTTCAGATTGAAGGTCATGAAAACAAGCTAAAGCTGAACCCTCCTAAAGACTTTATATAATTTCTCCAACAGGTGACGCTGTTTCTGTCCTCTGCCTTCTTCTTCTCTTTTCCCATACCTGAGAGTTTCTCCCCCGGACGCTATGACATTCTCGGCCACAGCCACCAGCTCTTCCACATCCTGCTCTCCGTCTGCACGCTGGTCCAGCAGGAGGCGCTGTTTGAGGACTTTCTGTGGAGGCGGCCTGCACTGCTCAGACGGTTCGGAGAGGAGCGCCTCCTACTGGCCTGCCTCTCTTTCCCCTGCCTGACGCTCTGCTGCACGATGACGGCGCTTTTCATGAGGAGGCGAGCACAGGCTCAACTGATGAAGGAGCAAAGATAGAAGTCGTAGAAGAAGAAGAAGAAGAAGCAGCATTTCCTCTGCATCATGGAGACATTCATGTTGTGTGTATTTGCAGCTGTCAGCTCCTGAGGGTGGACCATCGTTGTTATGCTCCTTTTTCTGATCTTTTACTTTCATTGTCTGTTTTCATTTGTTCTCTTTTTATCATTTATATCTCTAGTTTCTTTCTTCTTTAAATCTTTGTTACTCTTGGTAGTGTTGTAGAACTCGAAATCAGTCTTGTCTCGGTCTCAGACTGGGCCGAGACCGGATTTTAAAATCAAAACCGGTCAAGATCCCCGCTGACAGGTTATTTTTCAACGGCCTTGCTGTGATTAGAAGAAAAAGGCCTCTTTCTAAAATAATGAAAAACTTAAATTCATTAATAATTCGATTTTTATCCTCCGGTTACGCCCACAACTTTCCCGGTGTTACGGTCTAAGTGAGTGGCACGCCCCCTAAACACAAGATGATGATTTTTCATTATGGTCTTGTCTCTGTCTCGCCCTGCCTTGGTCTTGACTTGGTCTGGATCCCCAAATGTCTTTGTCTTGGTCCTGGTTTACTACCTCTGGGTCTCAGCTCATGTTTTTTGGTTCTTCCGATGGTGATAGTTCTGATGATGGGTCTTGTCATGGTTGGTTTAAATATGTTTGTTGGGTATTTTCTTTTGTAGGTTCTTTTAGTTTTGTCTCTGTAGCCGCCCACTGTGTGCCAAAGCACTTTGTAAACCTGCTTTTTTTTAAGTATTGTATATAGTTATCATTATTATGTTGGGATTGGGCCACAGTGTGTGTGTCTGTGAATGTGGATATTGGGAATGAGCCACTTTAAGCTTACTTCAACAAACAGTCCTGATTGTTCATAAAGTGTCACTGTGACCTGAACAGATGGAGTGATGATAGAGTTGAGGTGATCCCAATGTGCCTACAGATGCCTGAACCACTATTGGAAGTTGTTCAAGCTAAAAATAAAAAGTGTGCCCATCAACACGACTATTACACCAGTGCTGAGTGCTGAGTCTCCAACGAGATTGGCTCAGCTTTGAACCAGAAAGCAAACGTTTTACTAGCACCTCAGCAGCAAGGAAGTGTGGACAACAGGAACGCCATGAATACAAAGGGGAAATCCTTCCTGTATATTATCACATATGCTCTTTTGTAAAGAGTCTTGAGATGAATTGCCGCTTTACAAATAATAATGATTGATTGATTGACTGAAGTGAATAAAAGCCCAGAGTTATTAATTAAAGTTTTGTGTAATGCATGTAAAAAGTTTAAGATTTTTACAAATCCTAACACTAATATTGTCATCAGCTAAAGCCCCTTCCTCCTCGTCCTCCTCGTCCTCCTCCTCCTCCTCCTCGTCCCTCTCTCTCAGCAGCTCAGAAACCTTTAATAGAAACAGTCTTTACCTCAACCTCATTCAGGGCGGAGGCAGACATCCAGCAGCTGAGATCTAAAAATAACTGCAAACAGAACTGAAACTTTTTGCTTGACAACACACACTAATAATACTCGTGGAGCATAAATTCTCCCCTTTAACTGCACTGTGGATGTTATCTTTCTGTCACAGTCCGCTGCCTCGCTCGACCAGTCGAGCAGTAAGCGTCAGTTGGCTGTGTTTGGGTGGAGCTGCTGATAACGTTGCATTGTCGGTTTGATTTGGGCTTTAATGAGATTATCAGTCCCAGCTGCCTGCGTTCAAAGGAACTGCCACAAAATAATACAAACACACGCTCTTTGTTTTATTCTTTGCAGGGCAAAAGGAAGCTTGAAGTACAAGAAAAAAGACACAACCAAGAGGAAAACACCTTTAAAATATTCTGAACTCACTCGATTAATCTTCCCAAAAGTGGAGTTCAAAATGTTTTCCCTGATGCCGGAGCTTCAAACAATGTCTGAGTCATTCCCTGAGCTGGAATGTGGTTCTCAATCAAAAGTGTATTTACCTTTCGTAGAAGTTAGGCCAGTTAAGTTCTTTGCAAATGAATCGAATCGAATAAAAAAGGTCAATAAAACGAGATTAATGCTCGCTTTGTTTGAGGTGAAGTACAGGACTGAATATAGTCAAAATTTAATAGATGAAAACAGTACGAGAACAGTTTTTTATAGCCGGCTACAAAGAGGCATGTTAAGCTGAGTATTGCAAAAACACAGAGAACATAAGAGAAACTGTTACAGGAACTACAGCGAGTGAGCCTGCTGCAAACCCGCAACAAGCTAACTGCTAAGCTAGTAGCTAACTAGCTACAAACAAACCAGACTTTTTAATCTTTCTTTATGAAGCTTCAAGTGTCTGACATTTCCATTTGTGACTTTTGTTAACTTTAAAGCAAGATGCAACCTATAGGCTAACTCAGTTTGTTTTCTTGGAAGCTAAGCTAGCAGCTAACTGTAACCCTTGTTGCTAGCTTAGCGAGGCTATATTAAATTAATAAACATGTTTTATGAATTTTTTATTTCGGTTATGAAATAGTCATACTATCTGTGAAAGACAAATGTTTGTAGTCAATCTGTCTTTAGTTCTGACATTAACACGAGAATCCTGTTAGCTCTTGTTGGCAGAATTCAGCTAACGACAGGATAGCGTCGCAACTAGCTCGTGTATCTTCATGCTAAGCTAAATTAAATACATTATCACAGTGATCGTCGTGGTATGCCTAATACATGATGTGTGTTGTCTTTGAGATGCTGCTAGCTTGTAGCTCGTCAGTCTTTAGTTTTGACACTTTTAGCTCTGAAAATAGATCAACCTGAGGCCGCGTCTCTTCATCTCGTCTTCAACATCTCGTCTTCAACATCCCTCTCATGCTGGAGTGGCTGATAAACAGGGTGTGTGTCTTTAAGCAGCTCAAACAGCAGCACTGTTTATTCAGCCTGTCAATGAGTAAACCTTCACCAGGAAGAAGTCTTCACATACAGCATGAGAGCCTGAACCCACAGCTGTGTGCACCATGGACCCAGGTACGCTTTACACCTTTATTTATAACTTTAATTTGAATCTAATCCAGAGTAATATTATGGTGAAAGATATTATATCAGCATAAATATAATATTTTCAGAAAGTGAAGTGATAAGTGTTGTCATTCTGTCCTGCACTTGTCTGCAGTTTTGAAATATTGAGACCATTTAATTTTTGACTTTTGAAATTAAGAATATTTGAAGTGTGTGTGTGTCGGTAATTTCTACTGGCCTATAATCTCTGGATTTTCGAGGTATGAAATATGTCAGTTAACTAATGTTCTGTTGCCACATGACTATATATTCTGACTTTCTTATAATCATTTAACGTGCCAAGTGAGATATCATACACACATTAAAAAAAATCCAAAACAACGTTTGAAATTGGAAGTGATGTGACCTTAAATTGATCATCAAAAACATTTCCCTTTTCAGGAACTTGAAATTAGAATATTTGTGATTGCAAACAGAGTACTTTTCTTTAAAGTTAAACCTGCAGCATCCCTGTTTTTGTCTGTATTTAGACGTAAAAGTGGCGACCATGACTTCATCCATTGGTTTGTTTTGACTACCATTTTAAAGTGTATTCATCTACATCTTTGTCCATCATTATGTCATTTTTTTGGACGAAAAGGGTGGAATTTAAGAGGGGAAACTTTATCACCAAAAGCTATTGGACAGCGGGGTGTATCTGTCGTTCGCTGATAATGATCAGTGGAGATTCTGGAGTCTGTTGGGGCCCTGTAGGTGAAGTTTCACAGGGGCCCCATCCAACCAGCGTTCATCAGCATTATGTCACAAATGATCCGGCACCAACAACTTTTCACATTAGTTTCACATCACAGCTATAGTACAGCACAAGAGGGCTGTCAGATGGGGCCACCTTAAGGAGGTTTCTGTCGTTGCAAACTTTGCACAATTTGAGCCCACTGCTGGGGTTTAACGTTTGACAGACCTTGGGGGGCACCCTTCCTGCCTTGGGGCCCCAAGCAGTTGCCTGTGGCGAGCAGCATCCCTGATAATAAAAGAGAAGCTTATTTTGGCTACCAAAACAAAATCGACGAACTGATTAAAACATCTTTAAGAAGGCTGTAGCGGTGACTTGTAAATCAAGGTAGTCACACCCAAAGCACTATAGAAATAATGAAAAGACTTGAAGCTACTTATTGACACTATGAATTGTACAGAAATGTTTACTGCAAGAATTAACCGAGGGTCAAGTAGGGTCATTATCTGACTGACAACATACAATAAATCTTATTTTAGTGGAGGCGCCCCCTGCTGGCCATTAGAAAGCATGCATTTAAGGAACATTGTGAACAGCAACTATCTAAGAAAACTATCAAGAAAGAGGATTTCTGCTGCTCACATGAAAATATTTCGGGCACACGAGAACGTTTCTCACAATCCCTAGCTAATGCCTCCGAGAGTTTCTGCCAGTCTGTCTCATATAGTGAGCTGAAGGGTTTTTTGCAACGTATGTGAGCTGGAGGTATCGCCAAGTGTTTTACGAGCACACGGCAATACTTTTAAGTTTGCACAAAAACTGCTTTCTCCACATAAAACTCCTGCAAGCACAAAAAACTGTTTCATGAGATCATTAAAGTCTCTCCTGTGCGTGAAAAACTTTCTCACGAGCATGAACAACTGTCAGGTGAGCACACCGACTTTCTCATGAGCAACTTAAAGCTTCTTGTGCGCACTTGTTGGTTTCTGGTTCACACAGGGAAACGTATCTTTTTATTTCTGTTCTTGTCAATTTGAGGGTTTAACGGCTCCATAATTTTCTGAGGAATGGTTGAAATTTGATTTATAATGAGAACAGCGCTTCATCCTCGGTACTGTGGCTGTTTTTAGGCCATCTTAGACTGGACTCCAGTAGACTTAGCTGGACCTGATGCTATCTTTAAAGTTAGCATCTTAAATCACTAACATGCTTGTATGCTACAAAATCCTGACTGTTTTTGTCTCGCACACTTCTTCCTGTGTATTCATTGTTGTGAAATAATTTCCCCATGCAGTGAACCTACTCTCAAC